TGCCAGCCTGTTGGAGTTCAGAATGGAGAGCAGGTTATGACGAAGGGAGGGAATGTGGAGACCAGTGACCACTCCAGAGGGGAAGGGGGGGCAGGGGAGGGTGGAGAGATGAGTGCAAGGGATGGAGAAGCTGGAATCAGCACCATGAACATTGGTGGGGAAAGGGAGGGAGGTGAGGGTGCCGGCGTCTTTGAGGGCAGTTTCAGTGGCACCACTATCGAGAACAAAGTCAATCGTGAGCGAGGAGGGAGCTGAAGACACGGGGTACTGGAAATCACTGGCATTAAAAACAGAGGGATACATGGAAGTGGAAGCAGGGGAAGAACGCATGAGCTCGCCTAGAAAGCTGGAGTGGGAGGCGGGAGCACTAGGGGAAGGAGAGCCCCAGAGGGGAAAGCCAGGAGGACCTGGTGTGGCTGTGGCAGCCATGGCGGCGGTGCCAAAGCCAAGCTGCTGCTGCTGCCATGCAGATGCTGCGGCTGCGGCTCCTGCAGCTGCGGCTGCAGCCTGACCACCAGAGCCCCACTGCTGCTGCTGCTGGTTTGCCGCGCTCGAACCAGGCGTCATCATACGCCTTGAAGCAGGTTGCGGGGGGATGGTTGGTTTGGGTGCAGCGCTCACCCGCCCTGGGACCAAAACGGCGAAGATAGGAACATGGGGGGAGAGTGCCAGGGCGGCCACCACGGCTACCAGATGAGCCACCACTGCCTCCACCACCACCACTGCTGCCACCCTCGACCCCGCCACCACCGCCGCCGGCTCCGCTGCCCCCACAACCGCCACCTCCACCCCCTCCCTAAGGGTTGGTGCGGCCGCCACGTGGGCGCCCGCCACGACGCGGCTGTGTGACTGCAAGCTGGGGGTTTTGGGACGCGGTGGAGTTCAGGCCGGAGGGGGGGGTTGAGAGAAGGCGGGCCTCAGCGTCAATGATCCATTGGACCACAGTGTCAAGGGAGGCGCGGGGCTGAGCCTCAGTGAAGGCGATGACGCGCACTTCATATTGAGGGGAGAGGCCTTCGAGGAGACGGTAGATCTGAAGGTTGGGGGGGAGAGTAGTCTGGCGAGCCTCAAGGCGGGAGGCAAGGTCCAGGATACGGCTGGTGTAGTCAACGGCGCCAGCACTATGTTCGATCGTGATGCTGAAGTATTCCTTGAAGAGCGGTCCGACAGCATCGAAGTCGGTGCGTTCGAACATTGCCTCAAGCTCGAGCCAGATCTGGCGGGAGCCGATGCGACGTACCTAGAAGTTGCGCATGAGCGCAGACGGGATGGCAAGGAGAAGGGCACCAGTAGCACGGCTGTCCACCTCGAGCCAGGCGCGACGACGCTCAGCAAATCGCGCAGAGTCAGTGGCATAAGTGGCGGCGGTAGCGGCATGCTGGGTGCGGAGGGTTGCCGACCGCTCGTGTTCCTCCAACGCGATCAGGTAATCAGTATGGAGCACGAGGAACTCACGACGCTGAGTAAGGAAGAGCTGCTCAACTTCAGCGGTGGCAGCGCGAGTGCTGGTGCCAACGGGTACCATGGGGGGCGGAGGTTCCTCGCCGGGATGGGGAATGAGAGGGGGGGGATCGCCAGGGTGAGGCGGCGGGTCCCCAAGGTCACCCTCTGGGAGACCAAGCATGATGTCCAGGAGGCGGAACGGCAGGACATAAGCACTGCCGAGGACGTGGTGGAGGCTGCCGATGAAGGAATACCAGTTGGTTGCTGAGTTGTCGGCAGCGCGCACGAGATGATCGAGGGTCGAGACGTCGACGGGAGGGGGAAAGGATGCCATTGGTGACACGGAGTGGGAGGAAGGCGACGGCGGGTGGACCCGCGGTGGCCGGGAGGGAGCGGCGGCGGGTGGACCCGCGGCGGCTCAAAGAGGAGGGGAGGATGGGGATGGCTGTAGATACTGCTGCTGCTGCTGCTGCTGCTGCTGCTGCTGCTGCTGCTGCTCCTGCTGCTGCTGCTGCTGCTGCTGCTCCTTCTACTGCTGCTGCTGCTGCTGTTGTTGTTGCTGCTGCTGCCGCTGCTGCTGCTGCCACTGCTGCTGCTGCCGCTGTTGCTGCTGCTGCTGCTGCTGCCGCTGTTGCTGCTGCTGCTGCTGCTGCCGCTGTTGCTGCTGCTGCTGCTGCTGCTCCTTCAGCTGCTGCTGCTGCTGCTGCTACTGCTGCTGCTGCTGCTGCTGCTACTGCTGCTGCTGAGTCTGCTGCTCCTTCTGGTGCTGCTGCTGCTTCTGCTGCTGCTGCTACGGCTGCAGCAGTGGCAAGGCGGCGATGAGCAGGTGCAGGTGAGGAGGCAAAAGATGGGGAAAGATGGCAGTTAGCTGATGAAAATAGGACTTGGTAGAAATTTCAGTAGCACTTCGTGATCACATCCAGGAAAGTGTGCAAACTTCGGAAAGCGATATCTGACAATCCAAGCGATGAAACAGTCCGAAATTTTACGACGTTGTAGCTGACACCAAGAACGTTCTTTTGCAAGTCAAATCACTCAATTCTGCCAATTATCGAGCGAGCTATGGCGTTTGGCGCATTGGGGGTTTTTGAAAATCCACCCAACAGAAAACTAGTTGAGAGGCGGCGGCTAGGAGTCTAGCAGCGGCGATGGAGGGGACGGCAATGAGGTGCACGTCGGAAGGGGACGGGGCGGAAGCGTGGGGAAGGATCGGGATTTAAAAGTTGGCGTGAGCCATTATTGCTCCTATACCATGTTAGAAACAGAAAGGTTCAGTTTATTGATGAAGCAAAGGCATTACATAGGAAGAGAGAGATGAGCTAGGAAGGGAAGGTTGGAAGGGAAGGGGGGGTTAGGACCAATCACAAGGGAGGGAGGATCCTTCCAAATGTGGTTGACCACCAGTTGGAGGTGGTCCAAGTGTGGTGTACCACCAGTGGTTTAGCCAACCCACTTGTGGTGCCCCCACAATTGTGGTCCTTGTATTTGGGGGCTCCAACCACAATTGGATTGGATTGACACCCCAACACAGGTGTACACCCAACTAGGGATGTAAACACAATATACACAACTAGCATAGCATGGTATATTCTTACAATGCCCACATCAGCCGACTCTAGTCATCAACTATTGTTAGGAAGTACCTTTCCCCCTCTATTCTTTGAACCAGAAACGGTCCTACCAGGTCTATGTGTACCAGTTTCAGTGCTCTCTTGCTTTTCCCAGCTACGCCGTGAAAGGGGAACCCTGTGAACTTGCTCAACAGACATGTCTCGTACTTGGTATCATTTGGTTGCCCAGAAAGCTTCAGCCTCTTTACAGCTTCTTCCTTATGCAGTTGCTGCAGCAATGGCATGGCCCCATTTCCTTGCAACTTCATCTTTCCAATAAAAGTTGAATCATTTGATTCCGTAGTCTAGCGTGTGAGCTATGGCATTTGGCGCACAGGGAGGGTATGTTGCCTTCGAAGAAATTGGCAGTCCTCAGAGTCACAAACATTGAAGCTTATAAGTTTACAGGCATGATGGAAACATTGAAGCATAGTTGGAAGATGGGGTAGGAAGGGAAGGATAAAAGGGAAGGACCCTAGAGGCCCTTGGTCAAGAACATGACAAGAGTCAAAGCATTAACTCCCCATCCTCAGTTTCAACCAGCCTCGCAAGACAAAATTCACACTATGCCAGGTTGGCATCCAAACCTCAAATGCTGCAGCTGCAAGGCGAGGACAAAATTCCCACACATGCTGGTCCCTCCTCGTTATAGGGCTCTCCAACTTTGGTGTAGCAGCTGCCAAGGACTTCCAATACTGTAAGTTGTAACAAATCCATCAAACATTTCTTCGTAACTTCTTCATATGTGCTCCGATTCCAACAATTCTTGGCTCGGTGGAATGTGCTCAATGTCATGCACAATCCAAGCACATCTGCACTAGCCCAAGATGAACATACAAAGACATGCAAACCCAACAAGCCACACAAACAACGTAGGAGATGAATTACATGCAAACGAAATGATGCGGACAGACAACAGGATGACGTGCAAACGAATGTGCACCAACACAACTTAATGTGCTTCTTGCATATTGGCAAATGGCACCGCCGTTGCACCTCGCTCACACCACTGGTGAGGGGCCTTGTACTCCATGCCCGCCCATGGGGCACGTGTTGGCCATGTGACCTGGCTGGCCACAGGGAAGCACACTTCCGTGAAGCGTGGCTACTGGCACGTGAGGGGAGGGGAGCCCTTGATGTCCATATCACCGTCATAGCCACCGAGGTGTCCACCGCGGGGGTAGGTGACACGTGCGCGCTTTAGTTCAGCCACGTCGGCAACTACAAGCTTGTAGGAGCGGGACGTCATCACACTCTTTGAATGGTAGAGCTGTAAACGATCAGCGGCCTCGAAACTGCCTCGTCCGCCACGAGGAGCACCTCAAAACGCTTACTAATAAGCATTTCAATGTGTTTCACGTGGTTGAGTGTGGTGATGATTTTGCCGTGCTGCAGCTCGAAGTCAATATGCTGCAGGTACGCTTGGATGGCGGTGAAGACTTCAGCCTGGTCGCGCACGCCCGTGCGCATGTAGGTAGTTGCTGTGGGCATGGGACCAAGGAGGAGGAGAGGGAGAGTGGGTGCAAGAGTGTGGTGGCGAGCAATGTTGGTGGGGGCCTCACCACCTTTATTGTCATTATTTTCACTGTCGTTAGTGTCGTTGGCAGGCACAGGGGTTGGTGCCGGGGGCTGGTTCTTGATGCGCGGAGTCTTGGGCACGCGAGGAGGCGCTATCATTTCATTTGTCTTGACGAAATTTGTAGTAGCAGTCATAATAACAGATGATGTGCTGATCGTAACAGGCTGCTGCTAGTGTACCATCGCTAACAGTGCCTAAAGCTGCTGCGCAGTCAACACAGGGGTGGCGGCGGCTTGCGCAACCTCGTCAATGGGCGTGTGGTCAGTGGGGCCTGCCTGGCCTGCAGCTGTCACAGCGTGCGTAGGTGCGTGCTCCTCAGATGGCAGCACGCGCGGCTGCCTGTCTCTCCCTATCTCTCCACTTCTCACTCCCTATCTTCCTCCTCTCCCTCCCCCTTTAGGTATCCACCTCGAAATGTTTTCCCTTTCCCTATCTCTCTCTCTCTCACTCTCTCTCTCTCTCTCTCTCTCTCTCTCTCTCTCTCTCTCTCTCTCTCTCTCTTTCTCTCTCTCTCTCTCTCTCACTCTCTCTCTCTCTCTCTCTCTCTCTCTCTCTCTCTCTCTTTCTCTCTCTCTCTCTCTCTCTCTCTCACTCTCTCTCTCTCTCTCTCTCTCTCTCTCTCTCTCTCTCTCTCTCTCTCTCTCTCTCTCTCTCTCTCTCTCTCTCTCTCTATGTCACGCGCACACTCATACACTGAATCTGGTTGTTCGCATGCCCATCCACTCTTCCTCCCTTTTCACTCGTGTTGGGCCACCGCATCCCTTGCGCCATATATCCCTCCCTCTTTTCCCACCCTCGCTGCGTGCTCTCTGGTGCTTTGTCCCTCCCAGCGTTCTATTGCCTCCACGGTCATATCTCAGTGTCGGTGTTGCTTGTTAGAATATACCATGCTATGCTAGTTGTGTGTATTGTGTTTACATCCCTAGTTGGGTGTACACCTGTGTTGGGGTGTCAATCCAACCCAATTGTGGTTGGAGCCCCCAAACACAAGGACCACAATTGTGGGGGCACCACAAGTGGGTTGGCTAAACCACTGGTGGTACACCACACTTGGACCACCTCCAACTGGTGGTCAACCACATTTGGAAGGATCCTCCCTCCCTTGTGATTGGTCCTAACCCCCCCTTCCCTTCCAACCTTCCCTTCCTAGCTCATCTCTCTCTTCCTATGTAATGCCTTTGCTTCATCAATAAACTGAACCTTTCTGTTTCTAACATGGTATAGGAGCAATAATGGCTCACGCCAACTTTTAAATCCCGATCCTTCCCCACGCTTCCGCCCCGTCCCCTTCCGACGTGCACCTCATTGCCGTCCCCTCCATCGCCGCTGCTAGACTCCTAGCCGCCGCCTCTCAACTAGTTTTCTGTTGGGTGGATTTTCAAAAACCCCCAATGCGCCAAACGCCATAGCTCGCTCGATAATTGGCAGAATTGAGTGATTTGACTTGCAAAAGAACGCTCTTGGTGTCAGCTACAACGTCGTAAAATCGGACTGTTTCATCGCTTGGATTGTCAGATATCGCTTTCCGAAGTTTGCACACTTTCCTGGATGTGATCACGAAGTGCTACTGAAATTTCTACCAAGTCCTATTTTCATCAGCTAACTGCCATCTTTCCCCATCTTTTGCCTCCTCACCTGCACCTGCTCATCGCCGCCTTACCACTGCTGCAGCCGTAGCAGCAGCAGCAGAAGCAGCAGCAGCACCAGAAGGAGCAGCAGACTCAGCAGCAGCAGCAGCAGCAGCAGCAGTAGCAGCAGCAGCAGCTGAAGGAGCAGCAGCAGCAGCAGCAGCAACAGCGGCAGCAGCAGCAGTGGCAGCAGCGGCAGAAGGAGCAGCAGCAGCAGCAGCAGCAGCAGTATCTACAGCCATCCCCATCCTCCCCTCCTCTTTGAGCCGCCGCGGGTCCACCCGCCGCCGCTCCCTCCCGGCCACCGCGGGTCCACCCGCCGTCGCCTTCCTCCCACTCCGTGTCACCAATGGCATCCTTTCCCCCTCCCGTCGACGTCTCGACCCTCGATCATCTCGTGCGCGCTGCCGACAACTCAGCAACCAATTGGTATTCCTTCGTCAGCAGCCTCCACCGCGTCCTCGGCAGTGCTTATGTCCTGCCGTTCCGCCTCCTGGACATCATGCTTGGTCTCCCAGAGGGTGACCTTGGGGACCCGCCGCCTCACCCTGGCGATCCCCCCCCTCTCATTCCCCATCCCGGCGAGGAACCTCCGCCCCCCATGGTACCCGTTGGCACCAGCACTCGCGCTGCCACCGCTGAAGTTGAGCAGCTCTTCCTTACTCAGCGTCGTGAGTTCCTCGTGCTCCATACTGATTACCTGATCGCGTTGGAGGAACACGAGCGGTCGGCAACCCTCCGCACCCAGCATGCCGCTACCGCCGCCGCTTCTGCCGCTGACTCGAGGCGGACAGCCGTGCTACTGGTGCCCTTCTCCTTGCCATCCCGTCTGCGCTCATGCGCAACTTCTAGGCACGTCGCATCGGCTCCCGCCAGATCTGGCTCGAGCTTGAGGCAATGTTCGAACGCACCGACTTCGATGCTGTCGGACCGCTCTTCAAGGAATACTTCAGCATCACGATCGAACATAGTGCTGGCGCCGTTGACTACACCAGCCGTCTCCTGGACCTTGCCTCCCGCCTTGAGGCTCGCCAGACTACTCTCCCCCCCAACCTTCAGATCTACCGTCTCCTCGAAGGCCTCTCCCCTCAATATGAAGTGCGCGTCATCGCCTTCACTGAGGCTCAGCCCCGCGCCTCCCTTGACACTGTGGTCCAATGGATCATTGACGCTGAGGCCCGCCTTCTCTCAACCCCTCCCTCCGGCCTGAACTCCACCGAGTCCCAAAACCCCCAGCTTGCAGTCACACAGCCGCGTCGTGGCGGGCGCCCACGTGGCGGCCGCACCAACCCTCAGGGAGGGGGTGGAGGTGGCGGTTGTGGGGGCAGCGGAGCCGGCGGCGGTGGTGGCGGGGTCGAGGGTGGCAGCAGTGGTGGTGGTGGAGGCAGTGGTGGCTCATCTGGTAGCCGTGGTGGCCGCCCTGGCACTCTCCCCCCATGTTCCTATCTTCACTGTTTTGGTCCCAGGGCGGGTGAGCGCTGCACCCAAACCAACCATCCCCCTGCGACCTGCTTCAAGGCGTATGATGACGCCTGGTTCGAGCGCGGCAACACTGGCACACCCCCACGCTGGTCTGCCATGGATCCCCGCCCCTCTCTCCAGGATGTCAAAACTCTTCCGTCTTTCCTCCCCTCTCATCTTCAGCTCTCCTCCTCCTCCTCCTCTGTCGCTGACCCCATAACTCCCCAGGAGCTGCAGCAGTTTTGCCGCTTCCAGCAGCTGCAGCTGCAGCAGCAGCAGCAGGAGGTGCAGCAGCGGATGGAGCAGCAGCAGCAGTAGCAGCAGCAACCGCAGGCAGTGCAGCAACAGCAGCCGCAGCAGGAGGTGCAGCAGCAGCACCAGCAGCAGCCACAGCAACAGCAGCAGCAGCAGCAGCAGCCACTGCAGCAACCTCATCGGCATCGCCGCACCACCTCTCCGTTCATCCTCCCACGCATCCACACTCGCTCTCACGGCCCACTCATAGGCCATCCATGGGGTTGGCCAACACCACCCCCACCCTCCCTTCCCTTCATTGAGGACTCCCACGAGGAGCTCATTGGCGTTCAGCAACAAACACCTTCCCTCACGCCTCTCTACCCGGGCTTCCTTGGCCTCCTCATCCTTGGCATCGCTACCGCTCCCACCAGATTCACTCCGTCCAACTTCCTTGAGGCCATCACCTGCCCCGATGCTGCCAAGTGGATCCAGGCTATCTTTGCTGAATGTGAGGCCTTCATCCGCAATGCCTCATTCGTTAACATTGTCCCCTCTCCTGACGACGTCATTGTTGAAGGCCTCTGGGTGTTCCTAGTGAAGCAGCTGCCGGGTGAGGAGCCGGTCTACAAGGCCCGGTATTGTGCCAAGGGCTTCACCCAAACCCATGGCATCGACTACTGGGAGACATTCTCTCCCACTGCCAAGCTCCCAACTCTCTGTGCCATCCTCGACTATGCTGTTCGCATTGGCATGGAGATTGCCTCCATGGATGTCTCCAACGCCTTCCTGCAAGGCGAGCTCCAGGAGCGGGTCCTCTTGCGGCGGCCTCCAGGCTTTCATGCAGCCTTCCCTGCCAACACAGTCTGGGAGCTGCGCCGTCCGGTTTATGGCCTCAAGCAGGCTCCTCGCGAGTGGCACAACAAGCTGGCCGCCACTCTGCAGTCCTTGGGGTTCCATGCCTCTCAGTCTGATGCCAGCCTTTTCCTTCGCTCCTCTCCCACCCGCTTCTTCATCCTGGTGTATGTCGACGACATGATCCTGTTCGCTGACGATGCTGCCGCCATGCAGCAAGTGAAGGACGCCCTGCATGCGCGCCTCAAGTGCAAGGACCTGGGTGAGCTCAAGCACTATCTGGGCATGACCATCACCCGGGACCGCACATCGCGCACCATTACCCTCTCTCAGTCCTTCTACATCGACCAAGTCTTGCAGCGGTTCGACATGGCGCAGGCCAAGCCGGTTACCACTCCCCTGCAGACCGACCACCAGCTTGCCCCTCCTCCTGCTCCCTCCTCCTCTGACCATCCTTACGCTGAGCTCGTCGGCTCGCTGATGTACGCTATGATGTGCACCCGCCCCGACCTTGCCTACCCCATCAGTGTTCTTGCTCGATTCGTCGGTACCGGTCGCCACACTGATGAGCACTGGGCTGCAGCGAAGCGGGTCCTCCGCTACCTCCGTGGTACCAAGGACTATGTCCTCACCCTCGGAGGCTCTTCTCCTCCCCTCCTCTCTGGCTTCAGTGACTCCTCCTGGGCTGACTCCCAGCCGGATCGCCGTTCCTCTCAAGGCTACGGCTTCACCCTTGGCAGCGGCCTCATCAGCTGGCGCTCCACTCGCTCCTCCTCCATCGCCCTCTCATCCTGCGAGGCTGAGCTCTATGCTTGCACCATGGCCGCTTAGGAGGCTCGCTGGCTCACCTTCCTCCTTGCTAAGATCGGTGCTCCTCAGCGCTGTCCCACCCTCTGGTGCGACAACGCCAGCACCATCCATCTCACAAAGGACCCTGTCTTCCATGGCCGCTCCAAGCACATTGAACTCCGCTACTTCTTCGTTCAAGAGTTGGTCCAGCAAGGTCACTTGGTGGTCCGCAAGATAGCTGCAGAGGCCAACTTGGCCGACATCTTCACCAAGGCCCTCCCGAAGACCGCGCACTCTGCCCTCCTCCGCCTTCTCGGCCTTGGGCCCCGCCCCCCTTCCTGATTCTGGGGTTGTACCCTACATATACACTAGCTTTGCATGCTATGGGGTTGTGTTAGAATATACCATGCTATGCTAGTTGTGTATATTGTGTTTACATCCCTAGTTGGGTGTACACCTGTGTTGGGGTGTCAATCCAACCCAATTGTGGTTGGAGCCCCCAAACACAAGGACCACAATTGTGGGGGCACCACAAGTGGGTTGGCTAAACCACTGGTGGTACACCACACTTGGACCACCTCCAACTGGTGGTCAACCACATTTGGAAGGAGCCTCCCTCCCTTGTGATTGGTCCTAACCCCCCCTTCCCTTCCAACCTTCCCTTCCTAGCTCATCTCTCTCTTCCTATGTAATGCCTTTCCTTCATCAGTCTCCCAGTAGTCGATGCCATGGGTTTGGGTGAAGCCCTTGGCACAATACCGGGCCTTGTAGACCGGCTCCTCACCCGGCAGCTGCTTCACTCGGAACACCCACAGGCCTTCAACAATGACGTCGTCAGGAGAGGGGACAATGTTAACGAATGAGGCATTGCGGATGAAGGCCTCGCATTCAGCAAAGATAGCCTGGATCCACTTGGCAGCATCGGGGCAGGTGATGGCCTCAAGGAAGTTGGACGGAGTGAATCTGGTGGGAGCGGTAGCGATGCCAAGGATGAGGAGGCCAAGGAAGCCCGGGTAGAGAGGCGTAAGGGAAGGTGTTTGTTGCTGAACGCCAATGAGCTCCTCATGGGAGTCCTCAATGAAGGGAAGGGAGGGTGGGGGTGGTGTTGGCCAACCCCATGGATGGCCTATGAGTGGGCCGTGAGAGCGAGTGTGGATGCGTGGGAGGATGAACGGAGAGGTGGTGCGGCGATGCCGATGAGGTTGCTGCAGTGGCTGCTGCTGCTGCTGCTGCTGCTGCTGTGGCTGCTGCTGGTGCTGCTGCTGCACCTCCTGCTGCGGCTGCTGTTGCTGCACTGCCTGCGGTTGCTGCTGCTGCTGCTGCTGCTGCTCCATCCGCTGCTGCACCTCCTGCTGCTGCTGCTGCTGCTGTGCTGCTGCTGCTGGTGGCACCACAAGTGGGTTGGCTAAACCACTGGTGGTACACCACACTTGGACCACCTCCAACTG